GAATTTAAGTTCCGCCTTAGCCATGAAAGATGGTTGGGTAACTCTAGGGCAGGGATGATAAACTCACGGCCTCCATGTCGGATCCAGCCTTCAGGGTGCTTAAATCTGGCCCACAGGGCCGGCCTAGAAATATGAAAATACCGGCTTGTGGTGCCTCTGTCCCAGTGGTGGGATTCAGCCGGTTCGCACCAGTTCAGAAGAACCGCTTGTTAACTTGCTGAGCAGTTTTGGTGAACTGGTTGTTGGAAGAAATCATTCGGGCGGAGAACCAGTTGTTAAATTATTTGAATCCCGCACTGCTCTGGCAGCTAAAACAGGCTGCGTGTGGGGAACCCGTGCCTTTTTTTCACCATCCATGGCCTCCTGCAGCACTCTGCCAGCAGAAAGCAGGCCCCAAAACAGCCTGAAAGTGGCCTGAAAATGGGCCAACAAAAACAAGCTGAAAACGCCCTGAAAAAACAGGCCAAAAACAGGGCCGAAAATGGCCGCCAGAGTGCTGCAGGAAGCCATGGAGGGTGAAAATGAGGCACAGGGAGGCCATGTGCAGTTCCCCCCATGCCCCTCGAAGAAATCCAGTTCGACATCCCTGCTCTAGGCCAATCACTAGGAGATGGCGAGTTCTAGTTCGGCCTTAGACATAAAAGCCAGCTAGGTGACTTTAGGCCAATCACTAGGAGACTGGGAGTTCTAGTCCCGCTTTAGGCACAAAAGCCGGTTGGATTACTTTGGTCAAGTTCCTTCCTCTCAACCCAACCCACCTCACAGGGTTGTTGTTGTTGTGGGGATAATAGGAGGAGGAAAGAATATGTTCGCCCCGTTGGATTTTTTATAATAATGATACAGGCAGAAAAATAAAATATAAAATAAAATAAAATAATGTAATAAAATAGCTTCTGCAATTCAGATGTTACTGAGCTGCTGTTGTGGTTCATCGGCAGCAGGTGCAGACGGCTGAGGTCTCGGAGAGCGAGGACTCAGATGAGGGGCCTGCGTGTGATGCAGAGATGGGGCCAGGACCAACAGGGAGTGGAATGCGGCCTTCGGAGATTGTGGAGGCTGGCAGCAGTGAGGAAGAGGCCCCCGAGGAGCCTGTGCCCAGCGTGCATGCGCACAGCGCTGCTCGAAGGAAAGAGCATCTGCAGCAGCACAGGCGACTCGGGAGTAAGGCTGCAAGGTAACGGCCCCTCCCTGAGAAGATAAAAGCCAGCTGAGACACCGGAGTTCTTTGCAGGAAGCAAAGAAGTTTTTGCACTCAAGCCTTGTGGATGTTCGGAATATCTTGGTTGGTGTTTGGAGACTTTTTGTATTTGAAATATTTCTTAGTAACTTTTATGTTCTTGGCAGCCTTGCACCACCTTGGCAAGACTCATTCTTACCAGAGATAATTAATTTGAAACAGCCTTTTAACCATGAAGGAACAGAATTCTTAAAGAATCATTAAAAGGTTTCGCTGTTACCTCTGTTTCGTGTTTGTTTCCTTGGAACAAGGTTTGAGTCAGAACAGCTGTGTGTGCTAAGGACATAATTATGCATACACAGGTAGCCCTCAACTTACGACCACAATTAAGCCCAAAATTTCCATTGCTAAGCAAGACAGTTGTTAAGTGAATACAACCCCCCCCACACACAATTTTAAGAGTGTTTCTTGTCACAGAATCACAGCAGTTAAGTTAGAAACATGTTTGTTAAGCGAATTTGGCTTCCTCGTTGTTTTGGCTTGTCAGAAGGTCGCAAAAGGGGACCACACACCCCCAGGACACTACAACCATCATAAATATGAGTCAGTTACCAATCAACTGAGTCACTTTTTTTCCAGTGCCATTGTAACTTTGAATGATGGGAAAACCAGCAATTGTAAGTCAAGGACTAACTGTATAATAGGAAGCGTGAGGAGACAAAGGGAGAAATTATAATCCTATGTTCTTCTTAGGAGCAGGGTGTGCATTTTTGCTGAAAAGCCATTTCTCTTTCTCTCTCTTAGCACATACCGTTTGCGGGAAACGGCTGCTATTTATTTAACGTTATCAAACAGCCAATAAATTAGCACAAAAAAATACAAATATATGCTACATAACAAAGGTAATACCTGAATATTCAACACTTGGACAGAATTGAAATCCCAAAATAGGTATGGTGCCAAATTTGTTTTCACCCAGCAGTAGGAAAATTGCACTCCCAAGCATTTTGAATGTGTTGTAATAAGGATGGTGTCAGGATTCCAGCAATCACCCTAAATAAATCATGATTCTCGAGCCAAACTTCAAAAAATTTCAAAGGATTTATCAGAGGCGACATACTGGCACTGCCCTGTATGAAGCCAACTCTGGCATACGTAATTTACAGTCCCCTCTGACCCTGTTTCCCCCCCTGGGTGTGTCATCAATCCGATTCTCCAATTGAGCACATGGCTGGGTGTCATCATTCACGTTCTCCAATTAAATATATTTGCGGGCAAAAGCTCTGGTAGTTTAAGTTACAATCTTTTAAAGAGAAGAGTTGGAATGTACTTTTGCTCTTCCAAATTTCCTTCCTCCCCCATTCCCTTTTTTATGGCAAGTACTAAAACAGGCATAGGAATATTTTCTGAGTTGACAGATGCAGCAAAACTGGGGAAATACAGGCAGTCCTCGGCTTACAACAGTTCATTTAGTGACCGTTCTAAGTTATAATGGTACTGAAAAAAGCGACTTAGGACCAGTTTTTTGGTTTTTTTGGTTTTGCAGTATCCGCATAATCATGTGATCAAAATTCGGATGCTTATCAACAGGTTCATACTTATGACAGTTTGCATAGTGTCCCAGAATCAATCACGTGATCTCCTTTTGGGACCTTTGGATGAGCAGTCAATGGGGGGGAAAGCCAGATTCACTTAACGACCGTGTTATTAATTTAACAGCTGCAGCGGTTCACTTAAAAAAACGTGCCCCCAAAGGTTGTAAAATGGGACAAAACGCAATGCATTCTCGCAACGTAAATGTTCAGCTCCAATTGTTGGTCGTAAGTCGAGGACCACCTGCATTTATAACCAAGATTCCACCGCTTGTTAGCCACAGGTTAAGAGAATTAATAGGCAATCCTCATCTTACAGACGCAATCGGGACCAGAATTTTCATTATTAAGCATGTTTTAAATACGTCATGTCTTGATTTTACAACCTTTTTGGTCCAACTGTTAGGCAAACCCCTGCAGCTGTTCAGTGAATCCCACGGTCATTAAGAGAATCCAGCTTCCCCCAGGCTCAATAGCAGGAACCGTGAGAGGGATCTTGGAGTCTTAGTGGACAACCAGCTAAATAGGAGCCAGCCGTGTGCAGCAGCAGCCAAAAAAGCTAACGCAATCCTAAATTGTATTAACAGAGGGATGCAATCGAGATTAAGGGAGGTACTAATACCACTCTGTAAAGCCTTAGTAAGACCACACCTGGAGTCCTGCATCCAGTTTTGGTCACCACATTATAAATAAGATGTTGAGACTCTAGAAAAAGTGCAGAGCAACCAGGATGATTAGGGGACTGGAAACTAAAACATATGAAGATTGGTTGCAGGAACTGGGTCTGGCTAGTCTTGGAAGAGAAGGACCAGGGGAGACATGATAGCAGTCTTCCAATATTTGAGGGGCTGCCACAGAGAGGAGGGAAGGGGGATCAAGCTATTTATCAAAGCACCTGTAGACCAGACAAGGAATAATGGATGGAAACTGAACCAGGAGAGATTCAACCTGGAAATAAGGAGAAATTTTCTGACAGGGAGAACCATCAACCCATGGAATAGAAATTGCCCTCGGAAGTTGTGCGAACTTCATCACTTGAGACTTTCAAGAAGAGACTGGACTGCCATTTGTCAGAAATGGTGTAGGGTCTCCTGCTTGAGCGGGGGGTTGGACTAGATGACCTACAAGGTCCCTTCCAACTCTGATTGTTATCCCCCGTTCACTTTGCTTGTCAGGCACTGGCTGGGGAGATTGCAAATGGCAATCACATGATACTGTGACTGTCATAAATTCATGCAGGTTGTTAGGGACCTAGATTTTGACCAAGTAACTGTGGAGATGCTATGACGGTTGTAAGTGCGAGTCATCTTTTTTCAGCGCCACGGTAACTTGGAATGGCTGCTGAATGAACTTGGGTTGTAAGCCAAGGATTACTGGTATGCTTCTGTCCTTCATACAGGAAACCCTCAACTTACAACCACAACTGAGCCCAAAATTTACGTTGCTAAGTGAGTCTTGCTCCATTTTAGGGCTTTTCTCACCAGATTTGTTATGTGAATCACTGCAGTTCTTAGTCACAGGGTCATTAAGTGAATCTGGCTTCTCCATTGACTTTGCTTGTTAGAAGTTTGCCAAAGGGGATCATGTGATCCTGGGACAGTGTAATGGTCATAACTGTGAGTCAGTTGCCCAGCATCCAAATGTAAATCACATGACTACGGGGATACTGGAATGGTCATAAGTGTGAAAAACGGTCATAAGTCATCTTTTTTCAGTGCTGTTGTAACTGAGCTAAATGAAAGTCAAAATCTACCTGTTTCCCAACTTTTAACAGCTTGATGTGTGGACTTCAACCCCCAGAATTCCCCAGCCAGCATGCTGGCTGGGGAATTCTGGGAGTTGAAATCCACACACCAGCAAGTTTCCAAGACTGGGATACATGGAGCTAAAGGCATTTGATTGAGCAAAATAGTGACTGGACTGAACAATCCCTTCAGGGCGTTACAAGCCACAATTCATAGTTTATCCTGCACCAACACACTTCATTTAGGATTCTTTGGTAAAACCAAGTTCTTCTCCCCAAAAATGTTGTTTTTGTTCTACGATCTCTTTCCATGAAATCAATTCTTTTCTCCCATGTTCTGGGCACGCTAGGCACCTCACTAACAGAAGGGAAATAAAGGTTTCCTTTACCGTTGTGTCTAAATTGTAATAGTTGGGAGAGAACACCTTGAGGTCATCAAGACCAACGCCTGAAAAACCCATATCAAACCATCCCTGAGAGAAGGCTCACTCTGATTGGCAGACACCCCCTCATCTCTCTGGGTCATAGGTCCCAGTTCTCTTCTTGTGCCTTTGGGCCGGTCACTTTCTCTACTTAGCTCAGCCCACCTCACAGGATTGTTGTTGTGAGGAAAATAGGAGGAAGGAAGGAACCTTGGGTGTGTTCACCATCTTGAATATATGAAAGCGAAAGACCCACTCACGCATCATCACAAAATCTCCAGAGCCGTAAAGCCTACAAACTTGAAATTTGCCACGTATGTTCCTCTTGGCTTCTAGGTGCTCACTAAGAAAGGATTTTTCTAAATGACCATCAGAGTATTTAGAGCGTTTCCTGTATTATTATTATTATTAACACGCTCTTGATGCTAAGGAGTTCCACTCCCACTCCCCACTGAAAAGAAATCTCTTCCAAATGCAAAACACAAGCAGAGGAGGTTCAGTTTCAGATTTAGTTTCATAGCACCAAGCAGCTTTAGTATAGAACAGTTGAGCTAAGCCACTTCCTCCTTCTTGCTGACACAGCAAATACTCTTTCAGTTTCCAAACAGCCCTCAACTCTCTCACTCACACACTGACAGGACGCTAGCCCAATGAATACAGACGGATGCTGGCAGGCAGAGACACAATTCCCCCAACTTCTTTTCCTCCCCCAAAACTAAGCCTGACCACACAGTTTCATAGCGAAGCACAGGTATAGAGCTAGTTATTTATAAAAATAAAACAGGAACTGAACGAATGAACGAATAAATGTCAAAATCAGGCAAGCTCACAGATATTAGGGTTTGGTTTTTTTTTGTAATCGTTTTAATTTACATGTGCACATTTTTTTTTTAAAAAAAAATCAACCACGTCCCCTTTCAAGTTCTCTTGGCAGGTAGGCGTGGGGCCCACCCCACCCCAGACTCCTGCCCCTCCCCCCCTCCCCCACCCCCCCAGCTTAGAATTATGGCACATGTTGTTTCTCAACCAGCAGCAACAAGTTGATGGTGGTGGTGGGTGGGTGGGGGAAAAAAAAGTCATTTTATCCGGGAGAAGGTTTCCATCTGTAGTGGGTAGAAATCGTGTCCGGAGGTTTGATCGGATCTTGTTTGGAGTCGAGTCTCTCTGCAGTTTCCGTGCCGGGGGAAAAAGAGGGAAGGAAAAAGAGCTTTTGCAGAGATGCAAAGATGGGAGAGAAAGAGTGTGGCTTGTTGTGGTGGTGCTTTTCTGTTTGTGTTTTATTGGTTTACCATCTCGAGCTTTTGCGTCCTGCTCCCGGCAAGGAGAGGAGGAGGAGCAGGAAGAAGAGGAGAAGCAGGATCCAACGGAGGAAGAAACGACACCAGGAGAAGATTTCCGGGCTTTTCTGCTTTCATTGCTGTTTGGATTTCCGAGAGACCCTTTGGACCAGCTTGTAAAGGAGGCCGAAATGCTAAAAAAAAGAAAAGAAAAAAAAGACAGAATGAGCCAGCACCCGGTTCTATCGACGTAGGGAATGGTTTTTTTTTTTTTTAAACTTGGCAACGTTAAGACATATGGGACTTCAACTCCCAGAATTCCCCCGGGGCCATGTGTGAAGCAAAATCGGGAATTACTGATGCACCAAAGCCTGAGAGATTATAAAAAGAAAGTTTACGTTTTGTCAATGTGGGATCAGCATCTAGATTTTTTTTCATTACATTGGTACCTTGGCACTCGACCGCTTCAAAACGCAAACGATTTGGGTACTTTTTAAATTTAAAATGTCATCCCAAAAATCAGCCTTTGTTTAGTACTCAAAACGTTGCTGTCGGGAGAGGGGGACAGCTGTGAGGGACGGACAGGAAGTCAGCCATGCTGGGAAGGTCACTGACAATAGGAAAAGGAACAGAGAAAAAGGCAACTGGACTTCCTGGTTTTTCTTTGAAGACATTTCGCTTCTCATCCAAGAAGCTTCTTCAGCTCTGACTGAAAGATGGTAGGGAACAGGATTTATAATCCTTGCAGACAGCTGGTCATTTGCATCCGTGTTAGAGATTTGTTGAGGCCACCTGTCAAAACTGAACAGCCCGCACCCATTTGCACCACTCAGGTGGCCCTGAGGACACAAGTAAACCTCCAGGTGGCCTCAACATCTCTCTCAAAGGATGCCAATGACCAGCTGTCTTCAAGGAGTAAATCCTCCCATCTTCCCATCATCCAGTCAGAGCTGAAGAAGCTTCTTGGGTGAGAAGCGAAACGTCTTCAAAGAAAAAAAAAACAAGAAAGTCCAGCTGCCTCTTGAAAAAAAAAAAAGCACCTTTGGAAGAACAAACAGAAAGTTCTTCCCGGCTATGGGTTATGTAGTTAACCACACGGTTTATTTGGGACGGGTCCTTTATCCATCGCACCTCCCAGAACCAATTCACGCCAAGTACCGAGGTGCCAACGCGTAGGTTGACGCGTGTCACCTTCACGCGTTATTGTGTTCGATCAAGGAATATTAGGAAGAAGAGAGCATTAAATGTTTATTAAATGTAATAAAGTAAACCTCTGGACCAGCTTGTAAGGGAGGCTGGGGTGCTAAAAAGACACAATAGGAACTGAGAAAGCAGAGCCCTACCTAAGTTGGGTACAGGGTTTCTTCAAACTTGGCTACTTTCAGCTGATTGGTAACTGAAGCCAAACAAAATGCTAGAGTCCTAGCTTTATTTTTTACATGTGTGTCCAATATAAGCCCTACCCCACAAAATAAGCCCTAATTAACATCCTGTCCATTCCAGAGTGCATGGGTAAAAATTAAGCTAGGGTGGGGATAGGTGTGTGTGGAGCTGCCCTACTACTTACTTTTGGAGCAAGATTTATTTAATTGTACTTTTATGTCAAATTTAGAAGCAGCCCATTGCGCTTGCAAAGCAACCGAAGACTGTCTTTAACCTCAGGTCACAGCGTCCCATGCACCTCGGCGTATAGTCATGCCCGACACATAACCCACGGAAACATCCTCGGACAATGCTGGCTCGCTTAGCTAAGAAACGGAGATGAACGCCGCTTCCTAGTCGGACGTAACTGGGCAAGGGAAACCTTTTATCTTTTTAGACTAATCCCAGCAGGGCTCATTCCTACACTCATCCCTTTATTTCATGCAGCAAAAATGCCGTAGGAAACCACCGAGCGTGGGCACTCACCTGGACAGCGATGTATGCCACGCCAAGGTAGGCTGCTATGCAGAGAGCCAGGAGCAGGTCGAAGATGGCCGGCTTGACCCTGAAAAGACACAAGCCACGTTCTCACACCCAGCAAGCTGCTTGTTTTGTAGGTCTGCCTCTCGAAGACCTCTTTCTTCTATCCCCTCTTCGGGCGTGCTACCATCCCCAAAAGAAAGGGCCAACTTTGAGGATGGTGAGCCAAATCAGAATCACTGAGAGTTGGGCAGCATACTAGTTTAATAACATCTACTCTGTTTCCCTGAAAATACGACCTACCCTGAAAATAAGTCCTAGCTTTATTTTTACATGTGCGTCCAATACAAGCCCCTACCCCTCCCAAAATAAGCCCTAATTAACATCCCGTCCATTCCAGAGTGCATGGGTAAAAATTAAGCCAGGGTGGGGATAGGTGTGTGTGGAGCTGCCCTACTACTTACTTTTGGACAGTTGTATGCCAGGCCTTGCGCACCCCGACACTTGCCTTTTCTTCTGCAGCCGTCAAGGCTTTCTTGAAGGCCGCTGGAGCTGATAACAAAGCTCTGGATCGATCCAGAACTCTGTTCTTGGCTGCAGAGGCCTTCGGGAAAGCTTTGCCGACCTTGCTGGCCAAAGAAGAAGTTCCTGAAGGCCTCTGACAGAGATAAGGAGGCCAGGGGCGACACGCACAAATGAGGTTAGTCAGTAACATTCCCAGAAAATAAGACCTGGTGCCTTTTTTGATGACAAAAGAATATGACAGGGTCTTATTTGAGGGGAAACACGGTATAGCCTTCTAAAACTCTCCTGTTTATCTGTTTGTAACCTCCAATTAGCCCGTATGGTGCATTTATGCAGGGACAATTTTTGAATTAGACTGCCTCAAACCTGCTAACTTAAAAGAATGTGCTTTTTACGCCCCGAGTCTTAAAGGAACGACCCAGGGCCAGTCAAGCTCCAAAATACATATTTACTGTTGTTCCACACTTACCTATACGCGTTCATTACTTGCTTCAGCTGGTCATAGAAAACAAATTCAGGATCCCTGCATATATATAAAAAAGGAAAGATCAAGAAGGTTGAAAAGAGCTACGGTTTTTAAAGGTCGGATTGAAAACCCAGGGACGACCTTATACCACAGAGGTCCCCAAACGTGGCAACTTTTAAGACTTGTGGACTTCAATTCCCAGAAGTCTCCATCCAGCATAGAGTTAAAAGTCCACAAGCCTTAAAGTTGCCAAGTTTGGAGACCTCTGTTATACCAAGTGAAAACACACGTCTAGCCCGGAAGTCATACAGGTATTCCTTGACTTACAACCATTTATTTAATGGCCGTTCAAAAATTACAACGGGACTGAAAAAAAGCGATTTAGGACAAGTTTTCCACTGTAGCATGCAGGGTCCTTGGTGCTCTCTTGAGCTTGGTGGTTTTCTTGCGGACATCTCATTGCCAAACTAGGCAACATCATCAGGGCTAAATAAAGAGGGGGCAACAAGTGGCCAGCTGAACACCTGGGAGCCCCGTCACCCTCCTCACCGCTTGTCTGCCTTCACGTAATGCTGCTTGACGTCTTTCAGGTAGCGGCTCAGGTAGTACTCCAGGGTGTTGATGAAGGTGCTGTCTTTGTCCACCAGCTGGGCAGCCCTCGGTTGACTGCTCAGCCAGTCCATCACCGACTCCATTTGCTCCTGCTGAATCTGCTGAATCAGGGAAGAGGGAAAGAGGAAGTCGGCCCGTTCTGCAGGTGAAAACCCCCAAAACATCCTTCTTTCTCTCTTTCCCCCTCCCTCCTCTCTCTCTCTCTCACACACACACACAGAGCTCTCTGGCCAGGAGCTTACCATATGTTCAGTGAAGATTTGGAGGTCAGCAGGCACGCCCTAGTGAGGAAAGGAAGAGAAAAATAAAAAAGAGTCAGATGAAAATCCTGGGGTTTTTTTTTTTAGGACTCAACCGTCCACAACCTCCATTATCACTGCAAAGCTGAAAGACTAGACAGCTTCCCATGCGAGTCCTGGGCTTCGTTATCGAAGGCCTGTCAACCCACTGGGGAAATTTCTCACGTGGGCTCTCCGCTCAGTCCTCGGCCTTGTGTCTTCAACCAGGTGGTCTTGGATTGTGTGGGGCAGCATCCCTCAAACTTTCCAGCTTTGCGGAATGGTGTGGTGGGAAGAAGGGGTAGTTCCGGGCGAGCAGGCGCATGCAGCTCAATTCGCACAAGCGGTCCGTGCGCATGTCCCTTAAAAAAGTGGAACTGCGTGCAGGCAGATCACTCGTGCCAAAGTGGAGCTGCATGCACACTTGCCTGTCGCTTCCGTGGCCTGCTTCCGAACGGCCGCGGCTCAGTACCGGGCCGCAGTCTGGGGGCTGGGGACCCCTGGTGTGGAACCCACCAGCATTGAGGCTCTGATGATCAGAGCTCAGATGAGGTGGGTGGGACACCACATCGGAATGAATGCTTTGCTGACTGCTCTGTAGCAAAGGTGAGCAATTTGATGACCCGTGGACTTCAACTCCCAGAATTCCTGAGCCAGCCCTGCTGGGAGTTGATCTCCAGAGGCTGTAAAGTTGCTGGAACTGCCTGCTCCTATTCTGTAGTGTTCTGGAATCTGGAAAGAGACCTTGAGACGGATCACTACTACTTAGCAATAGCACTTGGGACTTACACACCACTTCCCAGTGCTTTACAGCTCTCTCGAAGCAAGAAAGAGACGTGTCTGAACTGATGGAAGGTATCTTTATTGTCCTTTTACCTCATACAACGAAATTAAACACCATCTTCAGTGTACATTATGACTATGAAAATAAAACGCAAACACACATCCTTCACATTCTATACACTGAATTGAAAACCCCTGATATTGCATTCATATTGCACTATACAGTAGAATTCAATAGAGTTACTGCCCTGGGATAGAAGCTGTTTTTCAGCCTATTTCTCCTTGTTTATATTGTCCTATACCGTCTGCCAGATGATAATAGTTCAAAAAAAAGAGTGCCCAGGATGAGATGGATCTTTGAGAATGTTTTGAACTTTCTTAAGGCAGCGGGAGCTATAAAGCTCTTCCAAAGAGGGGAAGAGGGCAACCCATGATCCTCTGAGCAATGACATTAACCCTCCGGAGTGAACTTAAAATAAAGCTGCTCTCTTCCACAGGTCTGGTGAAGTGAACTGTTGCTCACAGAAGCCAGGGCAGAAAAAGGCTCTGCTCCGGGGTCCCCACCCGACAAAATTCCTTGGCTGATGGGGTCTGCAGTAGGCCCTTTCTGCCATCACGTGTGGGGCAGGCCAATCCCACTGGGGAAAGACAGTTCCACAGATATCCTGGACCCACGGCCGTTAGAGCTCAGAGCATCGTTAGAGACCCCGCACACCCACTTCACGGTCTGTTTCTGTTGCTCCCCTCTGGGAGGAGGTTTCTAAGTATTTGTATCCGGGCTTCCAGGCTCTGTAAAGGCTTTGTTCCCTAGCCCATCCGTTTGGAAAACTCGCAAGATTCCTTTCTCTCACCATGTAGCAATCGCAAGAGCCCTTAGACTTATAGACCACTTGACGGTTCTTTACAACCCTCTCTAAGCGGTTTGCAGAGTCAGCCTCTTGCCCCCGACAATCGGGGTCCTCATTTTACCCACCTTGGAAGGCTGAGTCAACCTTGAGCCTGGTGGGATTTGAACTGTCAAATTACAGGCAGCCAGCAGAAGTAGCCTGCAGTGCTACCCTCTAACCACTGCGCCACCATGGCTCATACACATGTATACATCTGGACTAGCCTGTGTTGCTTCTGTGACATATAATTAATATATGCGGATACAGGCATAATTTTGTATTTTATTTATTTATCTATTTATTTTGTCGTGCTTATGTAGTGTATATTAGAGATGGAACCCCTTTGAGAGCTGTAGGCAACGTAATTTCATTTTAATGTACGCCGATTAGTGTACATTCAAAGTGACAATAAAGTTATCCTAAGTCTAACTTAGATCTCTTGTGGGCACGAAGGGACTCAAGACTGATGATGCCTTCGGCCCCTCCCTCAGGCTCAGCCTGCTCACCTCCTACAAGGCCATTCCCACAGACCAACCCCTTCTGATCTGTGAGCAGCAAAGCGAGCGGTGCAGCACACTCGGCTGAGCAATTCCACCCTCGGCAGGTGTTTTTTCCAGCAGACATTTCACCCGCCCTAAGAAAAGGGTCCCTCACCTTCTCTGTTAAGTTGTAGACCACCCTTGTCAGAGCTTCGACAATGATCCGGGTGTTCCGGGTTAGGATGTGGAGGTTCACCCGTGGCCTGCAAGAGGGGAAACAGCAGCCACGTCAGAATTAGGTCAGAAATGCTGAGCTGAGGCTTATGAAACTGTGGCGCTTGGCATAGGCTCATAGCCTACATCCCAATTTCAGGCGACCAGATCAACCTTTGGGAGTTAGCCTACAAAATGACCTGTACAATGTGTCTGCCTTGAAAACTGTTCGTGAGAGGCACTAGGCACTGGTGGGATGCTGCTGGTTCGCACCGCTTCTACCGATCCGGTAGTGCCGGTCAGCAGTTGGCCCCGCCCTTTCCTGTCCTGCATTTCCTTTGTTTGTAGCTCAGCCGCGCCTCAGCTGTTTTACTCACCAGTGCCGACAGTAAGTTTTTTCATGCTTAAAATTGCCCGTTTTGCAACGCCCCGCAGGTGGTAATAAAATATTTTCTGCTAAATGCCACGGAACCGGTAGTAAAATATTTTGAATTCCACCACTGGGTACTGGGGAACATGAGGGAAGGCTGATGTAGCAATTCTTTAAAGCAGCCACCTCTTTTTTTCTTTTCCAACTGGGATTGTCCTTTCAAAGCATGAGCAAACCTAATGCTCCATAGTTAAAGGTGGGCGTGGCCATGTGACTGGGTGGGTGTGGCTTTTTTTTGCAGCCCCCCCCTTTGGAAACTGAGCATGGGGGGCAGGGGACAGGACACCCCTGTGCTCCACTTTGGGGTCTTCTGGGCCTCAGGGAAGCCTCCTGGGTGAAGCAGTAAGACAGCCCCAGCACAGCTGATCATAGGAACAGCTGATCGTTGGGAGGAAAAAAAGAAGAAGAAAACTTTAAGGAGTAACTGGGCAGGGAAGAATGCAGTCAGCGATGTCAGGCGTGTGCGCAATGTTGTGCATACCCAATAAGGGCTGACTGGGCGGGGAGGGGAGGGGTGGGCGGAGAGGGGTGAGGCCCACCAGGGGCACAATTTGCCGGTTCTGCGAACTGCGCAGAATCCCCGGTCCGAACCGGGAGAATCCCACCCCTGCTTTGGGAGTGAGGCTCTTCTCATTTTCCCCAACCTCCCATCTTGGAGAGACGAAAGACGACAGAGGGAAGAAGGCAACCAAACCTTGGGGCCTTTCCTGCCTGATGTGCCTCAAGGGGGGAGAGAGAGAGAGAGAGAGAGAGAGAGAGAGAGAGAGAGCACTTCTCAGACAAGAGGGGGCAGGGCAAAGGTCTTCCCACCCAGCCCCTCTGGTCGGCCCATCGGTCCATGCAGCGCCTCCTCACCCAGCAGCTGACCTGACGTCCATGATGCTGTTGCGCAGGCCGTCGCGGTGGCTCTCCAGGTGAGAAACTGTGAAGGCCGGGAGGCGACGGATGGCAAAGCGTTCGTGCTCCCAGGCCAGCATGTCTTCGGCCAGGTTGATCTTCTTGTGCACCATGGAGAACCTCACCTCTGGGAAATGGTGGGCAATGACCTGGAGAAGAAAAGGAAGGGACACCACCGGGTCAGGAGAGGAAGCAGTGCATGCCCCGCTCTTCTGCCCGAGGAACTACAATCAATCAGAACACTGCTGGAAGGGACCTTGGAGGTCCTCTAGTCCAGCCCCCTGCTCAAACAGGAGACCCTAATATCATTTTAGACAAACGGCTGTCCAGTCTCTTCTTAAAAACCTCCGGTGATGGAGCAGCCACAACATCTGAAGGCAAGGAGTTCCACTGGTTAATCGTCCTCCCTGTCAGAAAGTTTCTCCTTAATTCCAGGTTGCTTCTCTCCTGGATTAGTTTCCATCCATTGTTTCTTGTCCTGCCTTCAGGGGCTTTGGAAATTAAGTTGAGCCCCTCCGCTTTGTGGCAGCCCCTCAAATATTGGAATACTGCTATCATGTCACTCCAATCCCCCCTTTTTTTAGACAAGCCAAACTCAAATTCCTGCAACCGTTCTTCGTATGTCTTGGTCTCCAGGCCTTTAATCGTCTGAAGTTGCTCTTCTTTGTACTTTATCCCAAAGTCCCGATACCCTTTTTTGTAATGTGGTGATCAAAACTGGATGCCGCATTCCAGGTGTGGCTAATTACTAAGGCTTTACAAAGCGGTACTAATACTTCACGTGGTTTTGATTCGATGCCTCGGTTTATACAACCGAGGACTGTGTTTGCTTTTGGGCTATTGCCGCGTGCTGCAGAGTCCTTGATGCTGCCCGAGACTGGTTATTTGCTTGCAGACATTTCATTACCCAACTATTCCAAAGGTGCTTTTTTCCAACTGGACTTTTTACAGTTTGTTTGTTTTTTTAAAAAGCGTTTCGCTTCTCATCCAAGAAGCTTTCTTCAGTTCGAACTGACTGATGGGGAATGGAAGAATTGAATCCCGAAGAAGCTTCTTGGATGAGAAGCAAAACGTTTTCGAGGGATGGGGGGGAAACCCCCAAGAAAATTTGGACAAGGCGCCTTTGGGATAACCGTGACCTGGATGGTTGCGAATCGCCGCAGACATTACTCAACTAGATCACATCCTCAGTGTGAGGGTTTGCTCCATTTTTATACAGTAGCTTGGCCTTGCCAATGTTGTTGGTGTGTGTGTGTGTGTGTGTGTGTGTGTGTGTGTGTGTGTGTGTGTTTTCCCTTTGGTAGTTCCTTGATTGGAATATGGTTTTCTCTTCATTTGTCTGGTGTTGATCTCTGTTTATCTGGGTGTTGGCTTTTGGAGAGAATTCTGGCCTTTTTGCTTCCTTCTTCGCTTCTTTGTGTTCTCTTTTCAACGGGGTGTGAACATTCCTCTTCCTCCTTTCCACAAATCTAGCGCCGATAAAAGAGTTACCAGGTTTGGCGATGAAACATCTAAAGGAAAACAACTGAGCTCGCGGACCACACCCAGGGCCTCACACTTCCAACTCTTGAGCTACACGTTTTCTCTTCTTATCAAGAGCTTTACATCCAATTCTTCTTCAAGCGGTCAGTAGAGGGAGCTATTGCTCTGGGCATGGCAGGTAGTCTTTGACTTATGACCGGGTTGCTTTTAGCAATCATTCAAAGTTATGAACCCTCCAAAAAGGTACTTATAACCCAGAAGTTCCATAGGGCACCCAAACAGTCAGCTGAGTGCATTTTGGTTGCCCGGCAACTAAACAGCTATGTCCCATAGTCACGTGACTGCAATTTATGACAATTTTTTTTTTTGGCAAGAAACCGGCATTGATTTCCGAGTTTCGACAAAAACACCTTAACCACCGCATTTGCTTCATGACTCCGGATTCACTTAATAACGATGGCGTTTTGTTTGCAGCCAAAAAAAAAAGAAAAAGCCGTAAAATTGAGTTGGCTACATCACGACCTGCTTTATAACGTGCTCCATTTAGGGACATAAGGCGAGGACTACCTATATCATGCTGGCTATGAAGAGATCTGCCTCACTCTATTGTTTGCTACCGTGCTTTCCTTGAAAATAAGACCCTGTCTTATTTTTATTTTATTTTTTGCCACCCCAAAAGGCACCAGGTCTTATTTTGGGGGGTGGGGGTACGTCATCCCCTGACTAACCTCACTTGTGTGTGTCGCCCCCGGCCTCCTTTTCGCTGTCAGAGGCCTTCAGGAAGTCCTTCTTCTGCGGACGGCAAGCCTTTCCTGAAGGCTGATAATAGAGCTCAGGATCGATCCAGAGCTTTGTTATCAGCTCCAAAGGCCTTCAGAAAAGCCTTGCCAGCTGCAGAAGAAATGGGCCCACAAGGCAGGTGTCGGGGTGTGCCAGGCCCGGCTACACCTGTCCAAAGGTAAGTAGTAGGGCAGCTCCCCCATCCCCCATCCTAGCTTAATTTTTACCCATCCACTCTGGTCTGGGTGGGGTCTTAATTAGGGCTTATTTTGGGGATAGGGCTTATATTGGGTGCACACGTTAAAATCAAGCCAGAACTTACTTTCAGGGTAGGTTGTATTTTTGGAGAAAACAGGATAGCTTCCCAGAGGAGAGGGGGAAGAGAAATCCAACCACCCAGGCTGGGGAAGGAGGCAGCTATTACCCCAGCCCTCATCCCAAAGGCATCCCGTTTCCCCTTTACCTGTTCCAGCTCCTTCAGAAAGGTGTGCTGGAGGGTCCCTTCTTTGGGAGGCTTTGAGACGTGTAGGTGAAGACTGTTGCCTCTACCCAGCGTGTCCAGGCAGAGGACAAATGCCACATTATCTTGCAGCAGGCTGAAATCTGGAATTAGAAAAAGCTACAGGGTTACAGGCAGCCCTCGACGTAGTTCGCTTAGTGACTGTTTGAAGTCACAGCAGCACCCGAAAAAAAGGGATTTGACCATTTTTCACCCCTAGAACCGTTGATCGCATGCTCAAAATTCAGACACTTGGCAACTGACGCAACATTTGTGATGGTTGCAGTGTCCCTGGGGTCACGTGATCCTCTTTTGCAAGCAAAGTCAATGGGGAAGCCAGTTTCACTTACCATGTTACTCACTTACCAACTGCAGTGAATCACTCAACCACTGCGGCCAGAAAGGTCATCAAATGGGGCAAAATTCACTTCAACAAATGTTTCACTTAGCCACAGAAATTTTGTACTCAATTGTGGTCGTAAGTCAAGGACTACCTGTAACACCACTAAGAAATAGGGCCCTGCATACAGTTGGGGCCTCAAGTCTGGGCACAGAGGCAGGTCTTTAAGGTCTTGTGAAACGCACGCAGGATCAAGACCTTCGTGATCTCAGCAGGAAGAATGTTCCAGAAAGCGAGATTTACAGCAGAAAGGGTGCATCTCGGCCCCATCAACCTGTGCTCCTTAACCAATAAGACCTAAATCATGCCCGCCCTGTCTAACTGGATGAACAGGGAGAAACAATGGGGGAGAAAGACAGTCCCAAGCCATAAAGGGCTTTACAACCCTTTAAAACAAGGGTAAGTTTAAGATTGGTGGACTTCAACTCCCAGAATTCCTGAGCTAACATGACTGAAGGAGGAATTC